ATTGAACTGAGGACCCTGCACTTGCCAGGCAAGCCCTAACGCTACTGAGTTATCTCCCCGGGCCCAAGTATTTCTATAATTTATTTAAATGTTACTTAGAAATTTATCATTTTAAAAATATAGTCCAGGGATATAGATTTCCAAAAGTTGACTAGAACAGTTTCATCCAAGGTAAAGGTAAAATTCACCTCTCCTATTGCAAGAGCACTGGGCCTTCTTGGTTCACTCGTGTAGAGAGCAGAGCCCCTCAGTTTTGTCCACAGGAGACCCCATAATCTGTGTCCCTTCCTCAAATTTGCAACACAGGCTGGTGCTAGAGATGGCCTTGTTTGTTTGCAGTGATGTTAGTTGTGGGCCTAGTTTGGGGTAGATAAAGGCATTTTGCCCCCAAGATAAAAACCTAATTGTGTGTCTAATTGTGTGTCTTCTGAGAAGCATAAGAAAACTAACTAGAATTTTAATGTCTTCTGAAATGCGTAAGAAAATTGATTAGAATTTTTATTTTTACCTTAAAGTTTGTGTTTAAGTGTTATACATAGGGGCCAGGGGGGATGGCTCAAAAGAATAAGCGCTTCAAGGGCCTGAGTTCAATCCCCGGTTCCACCAAAAAAAAAAAAAAAGTGTTATATGAAGTTTTGTTTCTAAATAAGTCTCCCACTTTGAGGTAGCGCAAGATCTGTGAAGAGATGGTGTTACCACAGAAGTTTATGTATTTGTTTCTGTAGGACTTGAATGTTTACCTTGATATTTTATTAGTTGTATGTGACTTTAGAGTTTGTAGGCCACTGAAGGTAACAAACTCACACATGAGTCTGGAGGACTATTCTTTATCACATGCAGTTTTTACTCATGTATCTGCTACTTTTTAAATTAATTTCTTCTAAAAATTGTAAAGTTGTCTGTAATGAATCATTTTATCCCTTCGGACTTTAAAAATACATGCTTTAAAATGGAATATATAGTTTTAAAGTTTTTAAAATCATGCCACAGATAATTACAGGATAGTCATCGTGTGCCATCGCTTTCATATGTGTTGGGGTACAGCAGTGGCCACACAGAGACCCTACCAGGGTGAAGTTTACGTTGTTGCGGTGTGTACGCTCTCAAAGATAAGCAGCAAGTGAGCGCGAGAATTTCAGGTCTGACGAGCGAGCGCAGCGAAGCGCAGAAGCAGCAGGGGAGGGCGGAGGCCCTTGCTGGGCTGGAGGGTGGAAGTAGGATCGGGATGGAGGCCTCTCCAGCGGAGAGAATTTTTAAGCTGAGATTTAAAAATGGATTTCTCAATTAGAATTGCATTTGTCTGCATGTAACAAAAGCCTAACAACAGTAGCTAAGCCAAGCAGGGATTACTTCTTCACATAACCACAAATCCAGAGGAAGAAGTCCAAGCTGGTGCCGGTGCTCCATGTCTTGGGGTTCTGGTCTTACATTTTGGCCTTCAGGAAGGAAGTTTTTTGTTTTAACCCAGTAGCTTCCAAATTTAAACGAGTCAAAGAATCACCTGAAAGGCCTGTTGAAACAGGTTCCCAGACCTCACCTCTCACTGTCTGATTTCCTGGGTCTGGAGAAGAACCTCATAATTTGCATCTATAATTTCCCAGCTGATGCTGAGGCTAATAAATTGGGGCACACACTTTGATAACCTGGGCCGGAGCTTTACAACAATTCTCATGGCCAAAAAATGCAGCAAGATACAGAGGAATAGAGAATTCCAGTAGGTTCTGCTTTTTTTTAAAAGACAGGTTCTCACTGTGCAGTTCAGGCTGCTCCTGTGCTCAGGTGTAGCCCAGGCTGGCCTCAAACTCACAGGACTCCTCCTGCCTCAGCCTCTCAAGCGCTGGGTTTACAGGCATGCGCAACCACACCCAGCCCAGTTTTGCTCTTTTAAAAAGCTTCGCATTGGCCCAGTAGGATGCTATTCACCTGTTGGCCCAGGTATTCAAGAAGCTGAGCCCAGAAAGTGAGGCCATCCTGGGACACACAGCAAAACCTTGTCAAAATATGTCTCTATTTCCTAGAAGGCCACACTCGGTAACTTTTACTTATATCATATCAACTGCGTCACTCTTAGGCACAGGGAGGTTGGGGGAGAAAATATTTTAAATGCATGTTGCTATCCCAACTAAAATCATCTTTCTAATGATGAAGAAAAAGGGGAAAATGTCATCTGCCACAGAGTAAATGTAGCTAAATGCAAAGAACCTGTTGGAAAAATGTTCGAGGCATAAGAAACTTGAATTGCTAAAAGGTCCAGAAAGAGACTCACCCGGGAAGGGAAGATTAGCACACAAGACTGAAGAAGCAGGCAGGGACCAAGTCACCCAGGTCATGGTAAGGAATATGCAGTCCATTTCAAGTGCAGTAGGAAATCGCTGAAAAGGTTCAATCAAACAACTGCATAACATCAATTTCCTTTTCATTCAAAAAACCCTATACGAGGGCTGTTGAGATAGCTCAGGGGACTAAGCGCCTGCTTAGGCAAGCGCAGGGACCAGGGTTCGATCCTGGCCACCACATAACCCGCAGGCCCATCCCTGGGCACACTGAGCCAGCCACCAAGTCTGGGCATTGTGGCACACACCTGTAATCCCAGCGCCGGAGAGGCTGAAGACAGGAGGATTGCTATGAGTCTGAGCTGCGCAGGGAGACCCTGTACAAGTACATACAAAACTAAATTTAAAAAAAACTGTACTTTTTATGTAAACTGACCATCTTATGTGAGTAAATGTGATTATATATATATATATATATATATTTTTTTTTTTTAAAGAGAAAACCCCAAAATTTCAAAACAAGAGAATAGGAGGATACAAAGGTTAGTGCAGTGTGTATTGTTATGTTTAGTTACTCTGAACACAAGATATTGGCATTGTCCAAACAATATTAGCACAAACCTTTCTTTTCAATGAACTAAGAGAGGAACTTAGTAGTACAATTATTTTAACATATATATGTATACCTATATATATTATACACATATTATATGTATATATAGTATCAAATTGACTGGATTAAGAGACTCCATGGGGTGACTGGATCGTGGGTCTCTGTACTTAGGAGTGAAGTAACCTACTAATGTTCACAACTGAAATGCGCGGTTAGGCTGAGCAGTGGCTCACTGAACGCTGGCATTGTGAGGGCATATTTCTTGCTGGCGCTCTACTGCAGGGAACCACCAAGCACAAGATGGCAGTGCTTTGGTTCAGGCTGTGAAGAGGAGGGGACCCTGGAGGCGGAGGATTCTATCTCAACAGAACTCTTCACAAGGTCACCGCGGATAATCCAATGTAGGTAGGACTTTTGTAGCTGAGGGCGACACTGGTTGATGGAAACTACATAGGTAACAAAGGCTGTTGCTTGCACACAGCCCCTGTTGTGTGTTTTGGTACGAAGGCAGCCTGCCAGGAGACACAGTGACCAGAGGACTGCTGCAGGAATTGGCCGGTTAGGGGGCCAAGGACTGCTGTGGGTGCACCGTGGCTGGAGCCCCAAGAGAGACAACAGATGATGGACAAGAGCAGCTTAATTAGAATTTCTTTTTTCTAAATTAAAATTTCATTTTAATATGCCGATTATATTTGACTATGATTTTGTACATACATTAGTTTCTCTAGAGATTGCTATATATAATGAACTTCACAGTCCACATAAAATTTGTCTCTTGGAGACAGGTCCTGCAGCGCTGGCCTTGAAGCCAGGACAGACATGCACAGTGTGTGTCGGTCAGGATCAAATGTTGCCACTTCAAGTGGAAATGTAGAGATGTCACCATATATAGACTTCTTTGTCTTCCTGCTTTATTGTGTAGCTGTCACATATTGTATCTGCTGTAATGTATATTGAAAACATAAGAAGACAATGTTAATATGTTTGCTTTGAGCCATCAAATGTATTTTAAAGTACATTCCTCAAGGGGACAGGAGTATTTACCCAGATATTTACCATCTTGTTCTCCCTTCATTCCTTACGTGCCTGGTTTCCCTCGAGTATCATTTCCC